CTGATCTTGATCGGAGCACGCGTTGCCGAGCTGTGACATGAAGAGTAAAATTATCTTGGATTTTGGAAAAAGAAAAAAATGAAAAAAGTCCCCCCTTAAAGGAAAATTTTGGAGACGAGTTTTGCAGGATAATGCAGCCCATGGATGAGAGAATGCTCATGCAAAGTTTGGAGAAAAGTTATGGCTCGGTGTGGGAGATATTGAGCGTGGAAAAAATTTCCCTCTGAAAAAGGGTGAAAAAAACACCGTTTTTTGTGAAAAAAGCATAGAAAACGACATTTTATCGAAAAGTCACACGAGCAAAAATAGTTTGGAAATTCAATTTCGACTTATAGTGGTGAAACTTCCAGCGAGATTGGAGCAGAGGTTTGGGCTGTGGGATTGCGAGAGTGAAAACTTTACCTCGCTCTACAATCGCACGTACTGTGAGTAGAATAATGAGAGCTCGTGCAAAGCACAATACGCGTAGAGGCGCGGGGTAAAACCGGGGGGCTTTGCGCCCCCCAAATCAGAGGTTTTCCGTCATTGGCAACCAGAGTTACCGTGCGTTTCTCTTGTCTTGCCTTAGTCCTACTTGGAATAACAAAGTACCCTGACTCTCAGTTACAATTCCATTAGGTGGTTTTAGAAACCGACCACCGGACAGAAGCACTATATCCTGAAAGTATAAAAATTTAATAAATAACAATTTGTTTCTCCTCGATCTCGGTGTATAGCATCACTGGCTGGCGGGCTCTAGTCTACCGAGTTCAGCAATCGACTGATGTCGAACCAACGCAACTTAATGTATTAACACTGAAAGAATAGGACAACAAACATGAGCAACTCAGCTGAATAACACACGATACTTTATCGTTTGTACAAAAATCACAGCCAACAACAAAAATTAGTATAAATAGACGAAAATAAATTCAATAAATTCAGCTTTTAAGCGATGTCTTCCAGTCGAGATGGAACTCGACTTGTGACCGTGACGCCATCTACCGCTGAAGTCTAACAAACCACGGTAAATAACCGAATGACCAGACTGCGGTTAATCAGTGTCCAAAAATAACGTGTGTTAAACATTTTTCGCCCGTTTTTTTAACAGTTTGCAAATAACATTGTACTCTCATACCTTGGTTTATATGCTTCTTCTTTTATCTAATCGAGATACCTAAGCAATTTCTTCTCCATTAGAATTTAATTCAAATGGATTTCTTTCGGCGTTAACTCGTAACACAAACATCTTATCAAAATTGACTCAGCATATGCACTTTTTTATGTATGCCAAAGTGACCAGTCACGTAAGGAAGTGAATAATCGCGGAAAAACTGTGCAAACTTATAACGAGAAGAACTTTATAGCATTGGATAGAAACGATATTTGAGTACGCATATGTATTCAGAATAATATTGATAATATTCATAATATATACGAAATCCGTTATATATTCGTTATTATTATACGTATATATATATTATTATATGTTAAAATTATTATTATTATTTGGATGTGGAAGCAGTTAAAAGTACTAAATTTGTCTTACATGCTTCTAGATTTTTCAGTCGTGCTTCTGGTTGGGTATTAAATTCGAAAATTAAATGAGAAATTCATTTTACATCTGTAAGATTGGAGACACTGGATTCTTTGAAAGTGTTGTCTTTAAAAAGTATTTTTTAAACGCATATTATTTCTCAATCAATTGTTACCCGCACTCAGGTTTTACTGACTGTACTCACTTTTTTCCAATCAATTGTTACTCGCACTAAATTTTACTGACTTTACTTTATTCCAGACATTCATTGGAACACTTCAGTACAGAATGCAATAATAGAGTTAAACCGGCAAAATTAAGTGTAACCGGGACCGCGCACGACACCAACGTCTGTCACGTCACGCAGCCACAAGCAAACTTCTGACAGGTTTAAAAAATATAACTAAGTACTCACTGCAGTGAGTGACAGAGAACGCATTTTCTCGTCAACGAAAACGTAAAGTCACGGACGGACGGACAGACGGACATGGCGAGCACAATAGTGCATTTTTTCTATAAATGAAAAATGCTCTAAAAATCAGGAATGACAATTTCATGCTTCACAAAATTAACTGTCAGTCTCATTGTCGAAACATTTCTTATTATCCTTCAATATCTCCAATAGAATGACGCTGGAACTCATTCAAATCTTTGCTGATTTTAAAATCATTAGGTAGATCATTTGCGTTCCGAAAGGAACATGCAGCAGTAGGCTGAGTCTGACTCAGCCTTGCGCTCCCTGAATAACTTCAACATGTTAACATGGTAAATACGTTCACAATCACTAACTCTAACAACATAGTAAACTTTATTGATTCTTCTCACAACTTCAAAAGGCCCTTTCTATTCAGCTAGTAGTTCACTGGTGCTGGTAAGAAGCAGTAACAAAACTTTTGCGAGAAGTTTTGCCGTAGTATTCTTTCTCGTTAGCCTTGTTCAATGATTCATTTTCAATCGTCAGACGCATAAATTAGTTAAAACTCACAGACTCAACAACATATTCAGTTACAGGAACATCTTTTATTTTTGAACAACCGTCTAAGAAGTTCTGCCTAATGAGAAACAGATGACCTCTAAATTCAAAACTTGAAAATTAATTAATAGACCTCTAAATTCAAAACCTAAAAATTAATTAAAAAAAAGAAAATGCATTGGTTATCTGAGGCTCTTCCGTGTTGGCAAATGATAAAGGTTGTTGATATCTATCCCAGACAGAAGATTCTTAAAATTACCATAAGCATGTCTTTCTCACACTCGTTACAATTATCGCAAGTCCCACTGCATCTCGGGTTGTGCAAGGTGGTATTTAAACTTTCAATATGAAGGAACTGGTTAAATTTCCCATGACTGAAGACATGAATTGCGTTCCATGATCGTCTAGATCTCTGATGGCACTTCAACTCTACAAATCATTCCAAGCAAAGCTTCAGCTATTGTTTCGCTATCAATGCGCTTCAAAGCAATCGCATCCGGATATTTCGTAGCTAAATCTATCATGACTAGAGCAAACGATTATACCTTTCTGACTTCTTGGCAAGGGTCCTATGATGTCCACGGCGACCCACTGAAATGGTCTTCCAATTAATGGCATTTTGATCAATTGTTATCTAGAAGGACGCTTACATGCAAATTTCTGACAGTGAAAACATGAAATACAGAACAGATGAATATCATTATGACTCATTATATCAATATTTACTCTGCCCGCCACATCATCGAAACATTTTCATTATCTCCCTACACATCCAAAATATAATTGAAATCATTGAAATCCTTGCTGATTTTGAAATCATAAGGTACATGATTAGGCGCTCTGGAAGGAACATGCAGCAGTAGGTTGTGAGTCTTACTTAGTCCTGCGCTCCTTGAATATCTTCAACATGTTAACATAGTAAGTACGTTCACAATCATTAACTCTAATAACACAGTAACCCTTATTGATTCTTCTCGCAACTTAGAAAGGCCCTTTCCATTCAGCTACCAGTTTACTGGTGCTGGTAGAAAGCAGTAAAAAACTTTTACCCCAAACTTAAACTTTCCAGCACGAAAAGTTTTGCCGTAGTACTCCTTCTTCTTAGCCATGTTCATCGATTCATTTTCATTCGACAGACGGATAAACTATTCAAGACGTACTCTCAAAGAAACAAGATATTCAGTTACAGAAACATCTTCACATTCTGAATAATCGTCAAAGAAATTCTGCCTAATGAGAAACAAAGGTCCTCCAACTTCAAAACCTATAAAGTAATTCAATGGGAGAAAATCCAGTGGTTATCTGAGGCACTTCTCTGTAGACAAATAATATAAAGGTTGGTAATATCTAGCCCCATTGCATCTCGGGTTGTACGGGGTGGTATTTATACTTTTGATTGCCCGTCTGACTTTTCAACAATGGTCCTATGATGTTCACGGTTACCCGCTGAAATGGTCTTCCAATTAAAGGCATTTTGATCAATGGTACATTAGATGGACGATTACATGCAAATTTCCGACAGTGAGAATACAGAATACAGAACAGACCAATATCAAAATGACAACCTGGCCAAAAGTAATGTACCATCCCTCTATCCTTCATTTTTTGAACGCCAAAGTGTCCAGCAGTAATACAAACATGTGCTAATTCCATTACTTTCTTCCTCATTTGAGTCATTTCTGAAGGTAACACGATCCGTTTCACAATATTCAACATTGACTTCTTATCACATGCTGGTCTAATTCATGTATTGTTCGCTAGTGAACATTTTGCATCGTTGGTCAAATTAGCGTCTACAAGTTGAAAATGTTTTTGCAATTTCGGATCTCGTCGTTGCAAAGCAATCAACTCTTTGGTATTAATTATCTTTAATCGAAGAAAATTTTATTTGCTGACATCGGTGATGGAGTTTCCAAATCAGATTCAGAACGGTTTTGACTCATATAGTTTGAACAGCGTAAACAGTCGGAACAGAATGGTTAGTCGTACATACACTCACGGCACCGCAGGAATATAGGAATATTTCCTATCAAAAAGTCTAAAGGCAGTTCGGACAAACAAGTAGCATCGGAAATTCCCTTGAAAAATACACTCCAAATTCACACGAGCTCTAGGAGCACTTATGGGTCGGTTATCTGCCAATTTTAGAAATTTTTTTTCACCAGTCCTCTGACTTGTAGGCATCAGCGACTTCTTAACAAGGACAATGGTCACCGGTAGCACGCAAAGTTTTGACTTCTTTTCCACAAAAAAAAAAAAAAACAAATATTACAGGCTAGGATTGGTCATGATCTTTGATTTATATTTAACAACAGAATTTATGTTAGAATGATAAGCACAGTCATTGACAAAAAGTTCGCACTTGAAAATTATTAACTCTGCTTGCGGCGATTAAGTTTAGAACGACAGAATGGCCAAGTTTGCTATATCTGAAAGGAAGCCTGCGGTGAACTCCAGACAAATGAGAAGTATTGGCACATGCATTGCTCATCTTTCATGCTACAGTTGCGTGAACTGTGACCCAATTTAACACACTGAAAGCAAGTAGGTTCTTTGCCTGATGCAAAGTTTAAAGGAAATCTCCCGCTGCCTCTACCATGAATTGCCAGGTAGTTGTCGGCAAGTTTCACAGCTCTATCAAGAGACATGTGAAAAATATCATTTTATCTTAAAATTTCAAAGAGATTAATATCTACAGACTTGACTAATTGATCTTTATGAATCAACTGTACTGCGTTCTCTGAGAGATTTTGCAGCACATGCTAAATCACAAAATTGATCGAAATATTCGTGATCTCTCAGAGCGTACTGGCAAAAAGGTTCAGATCCCCGCTTCAATGAGTGAAATTTCCTTTGATAGTCTTAATCTGTGAACCTAAGTGCACCTATTAATTTCAATTTCAACAGCTGGAATCGAATTCATGAATGAACATACCCTGTAGTTGGCAAATCCATTCTGTTGTGCAAACATGGTCACTGAATGAGAACAGCAGTCAATATCTCGCATCTTCTCAAACGTCTGCCGGTTAACCGAGACGTCATTGCCGTCGTTGTAGATTAAGGACTTTATGGGGCTTTTCCTCATGGAAATCATCATCACCATCGTGAGATAAAAATCGCTCGTGGCAGTCACAGAACGGTTGGCGACAGTTTCAGCGTCAGCTGCCTTGAATTTGGCTAATTTCAGCGCCTGCTTCTTAATAACCAGCTCATGTGCTCTTTTTTCCCGTTGCACTTCTTTTGCAGTTTTCCTCTCCTCTCTCTCCCGTTCCTCAATAAGTCTCTGTTCTTCTTTACGTGTAAACACATACTTGCGCAATTCTTCTCCAGTGTAGCCAAATTCTTTACCATCATTAATAAACTGAGAATCCATAGTTCATGAATTTTAATCAAAATAAATGATTGAATACCAGCAAAACTTAATACTCCTGCTGAGATAAACAAATAACACAATAAATAAATATAGAAAGAACAAGACAGGAAGATAATACTATAATACACAATACCATAATACACACTACCATAATACATTTGGACACTAATTAAATAACACTATTACAAATGCACTTGTACCTGAGAATAGCTTACTGCAGCCTATAATAGCTCAATCAGCCTCGCAAGGACACCAGAGACAAAGTGCCATTACATGACTGGCTAGGCCTTACGACAAGCACTATTCCAAACGGGAAAAATCTTACAGTCCCTCTTGTTCCGTTATGTCTAATTTGTTTGCTTTTTCAGGTATTACTCTTAGTAAGCAGTTTTTTTGCAGAAGTGTCTCGAAGTTTCGTCAATTTATTTGAGGCAATTGTTTGGATGATGGTAAAAGGAGAATTTCATAAGAGAAGAAGAGTTTCGTATGTACTGACCAGGAATTTCTATTTGTTCACAAGCGCACAGACCCTAATTGTTATATATATTATCATATCAATAAAGAAAAAACAAGTAAAAATCACAAAAAATGTCATTTATTCTACATTTACATCATCTACAAAGGAAGAGGTTATACGTAGATACCGAAGGAGACGATCGTTTGATTAATTTTGGGATATATTGTTTCTAGCATCTAATTATTCGTACAATTTTTAATACCTACGTATTCTTGCAATAAATGATTCTGAAATGAAAGACGTCTGAACATCAATGTATTATTGGCCATATAAGCTTTTTATGAAATATTTATTATTTCAATTTGCAAGACATTATTTGGCTAGTATCAACAGTTCTCACTGGCTAGGGCAGAGCGTTTTCGTGTTTAATTAAAGTTATTGGGGCCCATTCAACAAATTTGCGTCATGTTTTCTAACAAGGTGATACATAAATTGGGCATGACTTCACAAGAGCACTATGACCTGACTGCTCTTGCATTTGTCTAATGAAAATCTGAGGATTGGGTTACTTTTCATGTTGAATGAAACATGTGGGATCATTGGTATAATATTTAGTCTCCTGACATTATCATTGACAATTTCCTCTAAAATGCATTAACTCAATGAAAACATCCGAATTTGCTCTGTAGAATGTTAGACTTTTCATAGAATTTGTCCTGTTGGTACGGCAAGTTCATGTCAATACAGATGGTTAATACATTCTATACGTTGGGCAGCTGATGTTTGATTGCATGACAGCAGAACTTATTAATGATGTGTAGTTTTCAATTCATTTTTATTCATTTCTAAGTATTTTATGTCCGACACTTTATCAATAATGCAGCTATTGAGATGTTTATGTGATCAATACCTACAGAAACACTCAAGCGGTCCATCCGTGTCAAGCTGACATATTAGAAGCATGTATTTTCTGAAGACGAATACCCCGAATATTAATCATGAATATTTTAAGAAACTGTTAAGTTCATTTGTGCTTGTCAGCTCTATCCCCTAACAATGACTCCTAAATCTCTAACAAGCGCAACATCCGGTACAATAAATCGTTGGTCTGAAGTTTTGTTAGAGGCTGATTTGTCGTACAACATTGACCGTGTAAGCTTTCCCCAATATACAAAGATTTAATGTTGATTTTGGTCCGGGGTTATTCTTCGCTAGAACAATAACATCGAAAAAACGTTCGTTTGATGTCATTTTTGTATTTTTGAGTGTCTTATATTTTGGACTATATGAACATTAAAAGAAGACATGATATATTTTGACCCGCGTTTGCATGGAAGCCAGAGAAAATCTCACAGTTGCTTACATATACGGAAGGGAAATTACTCGATCGCAAGTAAATAATCTGTTGCATGAAAAGTTTTGTGCGTCAAGAGTTACAGTTGCCGAGGAATGAATAGCAATTCCTTAAATTGTGTTTAAGGGGGCTCTACCCTCCGGAAAAACTTCCAAATTTACTAACGGATCTTTATGAGACTTCACAAATATATGTAAAACCGAAAAAAATTTTGTTCGTATGATTTTTTCTGAAAATTAATAGAAAACATGAAATTCATAGAAAACGGACAAAAAAAGGAGGTACTGAAGAAATCTATCTCCTAGGGTTATCAAGCTACAACATTATGACGCATATCATTCGATGCGTAAAGATCCTACCAATCGAGTAACGAAACATTGCGATAGGCACTCAATGGAGCAATGATACGAAACTGAACGTTACTGGAGCTTGATTACACTCAAGGATGGTGGGAGCGACTGCATGCGCACCTCCTCTATCAAAGCCAGGCGGGTGAGTGAGTTCCAGCGCCAGCAAACACTTTTTAAAGGGCTAGGAGCTTATTACCGCCTATGCTATTTCTTAAAGAACCCACCACCCTCCCCCATTCTATGATCTGTACTGAACGCATAAATCAACGTACCGAGATGGTAATGGTACCGTTGGATAGCTGAGAATGTCAGCTTTAAGATGAGACTAAACGGATAACTGAAGCGCAGACACTCTATTTAAAAAACTATGGAGCTAATTACCGTCTATGCTATTTGTTAAAGAACTCCACAACCCTCCCCCCTTCCACGACCCATCGTGAATTCATAAATCAGCGTACAGAGATGGTAATGGTACTGTTGGATAGGGCAGAATGTCAGCTTTAAGATGAGATTAAAAACCGGAAAAGCCAAAATCTGAAAAGTTTAGGGTAGACCCCCCTTAACTAATTTCCATAAATATTAGACTTTGATATAACAATGCCAATTAATAAACCTCATTATTTACTTGAAGATTATAATGGCAGCAATTTATACAATTTCAATAAGGTGCTAAATGGCTTGAATTTCATATTCATTCCAGTAGAACTCTACTACCTTCCTTAATTATTCAGGTATGCAACTGAGTGCACCTCATGTTAATAATCACTGCTCTATTAGACAAATTTTGACAGCAGAATGATCGCTAGCTCACACTCTGATAGATTAATATTGATCTTTTGTGATATTCTCTGAGACACCTGTCTAGTGAAAATAACAAAACTAGCACGAAACTGCAGCCAGCCTAATAAGAAAACCTGTCGCCCTGAATTTTGTTTAGGCTATACAAAGCATTTTATTCAATAAAGTCATAATTAACTAAACCACAATTATTTGACATATTTACTGATTGATCTGTTTAATTATATTGCACCATTATAGCCACAAAAATAAATTGAGCGCGTGTAACGACTGGACGAATGTTTACTTAGCCGTGGTTGATTAGTAACTGCCATCAAGTAAAGTGAGCCTCTTCTGAGACTTAACACGATAAGTTGACATTAAATATCTAAATGACCTCTAATAACTTTTTTCTGTGATGTTCATTTTTTCACATTCATATGTTACAATTACACGTCTCACGAAGGATTAAAGTTACGAAAAATAAACTGCTAACTACTTACAAAACTCAAAATTCATATAATGCCTTAATATTTTTAAGACTGATCCGAGAATGTAGTCAGCAGTCTGCTTTTTTTTACCTGTGCCACAAATTTCACTTCGCAGTTTCATATTGTGGACGCGAAGAATGGTACATTTCAGTGATGTACTTGAAACTCACAGTACTCAGGATTCAGTTACTTGGTTTAACAAATATATCATTGAAATTTAAACTTTAAAAACCCTACCTAAAGAAACCTCATACCCGATTCCCTTCCAAAATTTTATAGTATTATTCTGGATTATTTAACCTGCATAGGAATAACAGCAAATTGTACACAAGAACTAAATTAAAACTAGAGTAAAACTTTGATTGTCACATAATTAAACAATTTACATGGTCAAAATCTTATTCAGCAGGTATTCAAATTTCAATACGCTGCCTTACCAGAGCGAGTGAACTATAAAAGTATGATCTTGGGACCAGTATTGCATTTGCGTCTTCCAATGTTATCTGTAATTATATCTGATATCAGGAACGGTATCACAAACCCTATCTGTACACCCTATCTGTTGAAATTGTTTATGGTTGCACCGATGTACGCAGCTCACCAGGGTAAAGCTCACCTTATATAAATCAAAATAAGTGCACGCATGTGGTGATGTTAGGAAGACAGTTTAAAGGCAATATACATCCATTGGGAATGTTATAAGCGGCAATTAGTGGTTATTGTAAACCGCAAGAGATTAAAGTTTAAAGGTCGACACAGTTCCTTAATTTGAAGCACAATAACCTACTTTGAACACCATGACACTACAGGCAAGGTTTAAGAGTTAAGGTAGAGTTTAGGATTCAAATATAACATGCTAATTATAGTAACAATAGCCCGAAAAAGTTAACGACGTTGTAATGAGAACTTACAATGAAGGTCAAGCACAGGTTAAGTATCTAGCTGATATGTCCTTAAGGGGACCGGCTACCCTCCGGAAAAACTTCTACAGTTATTATTCGATTATCATGAAACTTCACATACATACGTAAAAGGTAAAAAGAAAAACATTTTGCTCCTATGTATTTTTCAAAAAAATTGATAGAAAACGTGAAATTCATAGAAAACGGCTAAAAAGGGGTACTTCAGAAAATCTATCTCCTCCCACAAATATTATCCTACAACATCGAGACACGTATCATTCGATTTGTAAAGACCATATCTATCGACTCTCAACATCACTTTTTTCACTTTCCACCTAGTTTTTTTATGACGTTTTTTCCCATTTTTTAAGAACTCTCGCACCCGCTTCCCTTTAAAGAAACGTCATGAACGTAAATATTGGCGTACAGCGATGGCAGTGGTACCATTGGAAAGAGCAGAATTCCAGCTTTCAGATGAGCACAAAAACCGAAAAACGCCAAAATTGTAAATTTTAGGGTGGCCGGTCCCCTTAAGGGGCAACAGCCACTGAGCTTGACGGGCCTGCCAAAATGTTCATATGAGGTGAAATACGAATGCACCATTTAACTAAAGAGAAACGCAAAACAAGGGTTGTTCAGTGTGCACAACAACCAAGGACCTTAATGAAATATTTAGGAAATTATGGTGCGACACAAAGTACCAAGGAAACAAGA